TATGCCCTCCGATGGTTGGACCTCTACCATAAAGTGTGGATAGTCGGTATATATTAAGTGGATACATACAATATCTTTCTTTCATATCCTGGCTTGCTTCAGTCAGCAATAGATCTTCCAATCATGTGGAAAAAATTTGAAAACCTATCTCTGTATCTTCCCCCACCCCCTCATAAAAGGAGTTACACACACACACACACACACACAACCACGCTTTGATGGGAATGGGGTGCTCAGCCCTGAGAGTGAGCTCCTGAAGGGCAGCCCTCCTCTTCCTTCCCTTTATCTATAAGAGACTCCGAGCCCTGCTTCCTGCCTTTGCTGATGGGAAACATTCATTTCTGGAATCAGTTATTTGTGCTCTAATGAGCAAGCTAGAGTGTTCTTGCTGGGAAAACTCCAATCAGGTCCTAACTTCGTCTGTTCTTGGAAGGTGATCTCGTGTGTCTGGATTTCCAGATCTCTTGGGACTGGACAGGGGTGAGCTTCTTCATGTGGACCCAGGGCCCAGGGTGGCCAGGCTGAGAAGGAGCAGGGCTCTGGGGTCAGGACCGAGACCCTTTCTGTGACTGCTGCCCCTAGGCCCTCTCTAACAGGAAGCCTGCTGGCTCAGGCTCCTGAGAACCCCCAGACCTCTGGATTTGCTCTCCCACTTTCTGTGGCTTGGGAATGCATTTGTGGATTTGTGGCTTGTCTTGTATTTAAGAAATCTGCCTAGACCTACAGAATTTCTTCTGCCCCAGGGCCGGGTTCCTTTTTAAAACTGAAAAATGCAATAGTATGGGAGTGAATTATACACACGTGAGTAAACATGGGTGTGTTCAGATGAGCCCATGTGTGATCACAGGAATTCTAAGCATCACCCTTCATGAGTCCCCTTTTGGTCAAGTGGGAAACTTGATGCTGTGGAGCCAGGGAGGGAGTGCAGAGAAAGGGAGGCAGAGGGAGAAGGCAGAGGGAGGAAGGCAGAGGGAGGGAGGCAGAAGGAGGGTCTGGCTTCTGGCACAGGCCTTGGGGTAGGGCTCAGGGGCCTCGCCCACCAGGAAGTGTGCTCTGTCTAACAGGCTGCGCTTCTCAAACACCACCTCCCAGGGAGGCAGGAGACTGGTGGGGGAGTGTGTGTATCCTGGAGCTGGGGGAACTCTCTGTGCTTCACCCTCTCCTGCCTCCCAGGACCCAGCCCAGCAGGCGTAAGGGTCAGAGGAAGCTGTTGTAGAGGCAGATCCTTCACCCACAAACCTGACTCCTCTGTTCCCTCTGAGCACCACCCTGACCCTGGCCTATTCCGGCTTTGTGCGATAACCTCTGCCCTCCAACCCTTTCCACTGGGGTCCAGGGCGGGGTTTGGCCAGGGCAGCTAGCTCCACCCCTCTTTCTTTCTTTCTTTCTTTCTTTCTTTCTTTCTTTCTTTCTTTCTTTCTTTCTTTCTTCCTTCCTTCCTTCCTTCCTTCCTTCCTTCCTTCCTTCCTTCCTTCCTTCCTTTCTTTCTTTCTTTCTTCCTTTCTTTCTTTAAAAAAAAGAAAGATTTTTACTACAAGGCACATGTGCTCCCCAGAGAAACAAAGACAGAAAGCAAGAAATTACCCCCTCAAGGGGGATGGCCACACCGCAGTCCCTTCTCTTCCACTCTTGTCTTGGTATCTTGGGCACGCACACGCACCTGGTGTGTTTCAAGCTGCAGGGTCCAGGACTTGAACTATGGTCAGCCACGTGGGAGTCCAGTGTCTTTACCACTACATCACCTGCTGGCCTCCCCTTCTATTTTTTAAATTAATTAAGTTATTTCATGAGTAAGAGACACACACACAGAGAGAGAGAGAGAGAGAGAGAGCGCACTCAACAGAGTCTCAGTGCCACTGTTCGCCTCCAGCCACAGTCATACGTGTGCCTGATGTGTTCTTGGGGAGGTCTCTGGACGTGAACTCAGAACTACTCCTCTTTTCTTTCTTTTTTTTTTTTAACAATGATTTTATCCAACTTTATTTATTTATTCATTTATTTTATTTTAATTTGACCAGGGAGGGACTGAATGAGAGAGAGAAAGAATGTGAGAAAGTAAGCCGCCAGGTTCGGAACCTGAACCGCAGTCAGCCGTATGGGAGCAGATTGATATATCAAGATATATAGATTTTTAAGTTTATTAATTTATTTCTCCCATGAGAAAGACAGAGAAGAAAAGAGACAGGCATCCCTGACAGAGTCTTCACCCCCGGTCCACCCCTAGGTGCAGTCAACTTGGCTATGGAATAAGGGGACGTATGTGGACACCTGGCGTGCACAGGAAGACCTGGTGTGGACTCCGGACCATCCGTGTGGGGCCTGTGACAGCCCCCTTAACCACCACGCCACCTGCCAGCCTGCAACCACTTCTCTTTTCTGAAGGAGACTCAGGGCTGACCCCATAGCCTAGTGAATAAAGGAAGCTGGATCCTGCATGGCTGACTACAGACCAAATCCTGGCTCTTGTGGTTGAAAAACATGCTGGGCATGTGTGCATACATGTTCAAAATCCTGACGAGTGAAGAGATGGAGAAGGGACTGTGGCGTGAAACACCTCCCTCTCCCTCTATCTCTGTCTCTCTGGTGAGTCCATGCACACTTCTGCAATTAAAATAATTTTTATTTTAAATAAAAAATAAAAAAAATAAAGCAGGCTGTCTCTCTCTCTCTTTTTTTTTTCATCTGTTCAGTGGAGATAAAGATGTTTTGGAGGCTTTGGGACATGCCAGTGTGACTGACCTGAATGACAGTCCCCAGAATTCCTTGTCCTGGGTGTTTCCTGTGAGGTGGGTCATGAAGAGCTTGGAGTGGGGCAGGTTTTGAGGGCCGAAGGGAAGCAGCAGCTGCAGCGAGTCACAGTCTCCATTCTGCCCACGGGCCTCCTCGCTGGAGGGGAGGCAGTGACCAGACGCAACTGCCTGTCTTCTTCTGGATGCTCCTCTGGCTTCTCCAGCCCCTTGGCCAGGCGCGTGTGCTCAGTTCCACGGGGAGGATCCTGGCTTCCGCAGGACAACCATGTGGCCGAGTTCAGAACAGCGAGAACTGAATGGGTTCGCGTCTGTCTTCAGGGATTCCCGTTCAGGCTTGCGGATTCCGACTTGTTCTGATTCCTCCCTACACATGCGCTTTAGCTCCGTCCCTTCCCAGCTACCTCCCTCTGAATCTGAAGTTCCAGCAACTGCCCAAGGCCAAGTACCCACAGAGACATCCCGCACATTGGGAACCAGCAGTTAGCGTAATGGCTATGTCCCTGGACTCCCACATAGTCGTGCCCAAGATCCCGAGAGGAGAATGGAGGAGAAGGGATTGCGGTGTGACCATCCCCCCTGGGGGGTGATTTTTCGCTTTCTGTCTCTATGTCTCTCTCTGACTGTCTGGCGAGCGCATGCGCCCTACAGTGAAAATCTCTCAAAAAAAATACAAAAAAAAAGAGACATCCCGCACATGTACCAGAAGACACACGTATGTCTATGGCTACATGTACATATTAGGACCCTCAATGGTGGCACAGCAGAAACGTAGCCCTCTGTGTCGCAGGCCCCACATGGATGGTCCTGAGGTCACACTAGGTCTTCCCATGCACGCCAGGTGTGTGCATGTGTCCTGTTATTCCTTCATCCAAGTTGACTGAGGTTAGGGGTGGACCGGGGGTGAAGACTTTCAGGGATACCTGTCTCTTTCTTTCCTTCTCTCTCTCTCTGTCTCTCTCTCTCATGGGAGAAGTAAATAAATAAACTTAAAGATCTATATAACTCTACATATCAGTCTGCTTCTCTGACTGACCACTCTCTCTCTCTCTCTCTCTCTCTATATATATATATATAGAGAGAGAGAGAGGAGGCTGATATATGTAAAGTTTATTTAGGGCTGGCCCTGTAGCCCAGCTAGTGGTTAAGGGAACTAGGTCCCACAGAGCTGATCATAGTTTCTATCCTGGACCTGGTGGCTTCAAAACCATGCCATGAGCCTGTGCGTGTGTGCCCCCAATCCTGACAGAATGGAGAAGTGGAGGAGAAGGGATTGCCCATGACCACGCTCCACTGGGGATTGCTTTAGCCCTCCCCCCATCACTCATTTTCTTGCAATCACATGCACCCTTTGACAATTAAAAAAAATGTTTACTCCATGGGCAAGAGAGACAGAGGTAAAGAGACAGAGAGACAGCACACCCAACAGCGTCATGGTGCTGCACTCCACCCCCAGTCTCGGTCAACCCTGGATCATGGGCCGCTGCGTGCCTGGTACATGCAGGGCGGTCTCCAGACATGGCACCCAGAACCTTCCTGCTGGATCAGCCTCGCAGCGTCGGTTGCACTTTATTGCTGTGCCACAGTTCAACCCCTCAAGGCTTCATACTTACCTCCACTCAGGGGCGTTTTGCTGGTTTTACTCTAGCATTGTGGCCCACTAAGGTACTCCTGGGCATTGAGGTTTTCATTTGGCACATCGGTGGCCCCCGGCTAGTTCCTGAGCAGCCTGCTGGCTGTTCCTTCGTTAGTATTGCTGGCACATGTTGCATACTTTGGGGTGCATGGGGAGTTGGGGAGCAGGGCTTGCTCTGGAGGTCAGAGAAGAGTTTTTGATCCAGCACCTTTGGAGACTGGACTTGGGAAGCGGCCTTCACAGTTTCTAGTGAGTCCCAATTATTGGTCATTGGAAAAATCATGATGTATTTTTTTGTTTTTTCTATGCAAATATATGCATTATGAGTTTGCTGACAACCCAGTAGATAACACTAATTTATTTTTTTTTAATTTTTCAAATGGTAGAGGAGGGAAGGGGCCTATGTAATTACCCACTGGAGCACTCACGGCATGTAAGACAAAGCCAAGGAGACACCCAGCCTCAGACGTTGTCCCTAGCTCTTAGGCAGCCTAAGTGACTGTTTTTGAGAGGGTACACTTGTTAGGGTTCTCCTATCGTTGATTCTCTTCCCTGTGAATTAACTGCCAAAAATAGAACAGAGGAACAAACTTCTTAAAAAATTTAATGTTTTCAGGGCTGGGGTGGACCAAGGCCCGAGGAGAAAATGGCAAGACAGGCACGGGGTCTACCGAGGCTGGACCAGGCTGACTGGACCACGAACTCCACCGACTTATTCTGTCAGTCTCTATCTCAGAACATTCTGGAACCATGCTGTCTCCTTAAACCCGGACTTGCTGTGCTTCCTTCTTCTTCACTTCTGCCCAGATGTCTGACAGGTCTTGGATAAACTGCTGGATCTAACAAGGCAAGGGAGCCAGGGTTAATCCCACCCGCCAGAGGCCTCCCTCGTCATCCCAGACGGAGCATCTCCAGGTAGTTAACCTGTAAAGAACTGGTCACTTTCCTGTGACTGACTTCTTGAGGAGGCCATTTTCTCTCATTTGACACTGTTTACAGGAGAGGTTGAATACTAGGTTTAAAGATTAAAAGCAATAAATAGGGATAGGGTTGAGAACTCCTAGAGGCAAACCCTTAGTACAAAACATGAGTGACATGTTTTGTCACCCTCCCTCTCACGGAGGGCAGAGGGAAGAGAAAAGAGAGAGAGAGCCACAGAAGGACAGGACAGAGAAAGGACAGGACAGAGAAACAAGAGAGGGACCTTGTTGCAACCATGTCCTCTTAGGGGGTACCTTCTCCTCTGTCTGTCTCTCTCTGGCAGCTCACATACCATCTGACAATTAGGAAAATTAAAAAAAAAAAAAAAAAGAAAGAGAAAGAAATAATAAGGGGGGGGGGCAGCAGAGGGTGTGGTGTTTAAGGCGCTGGATCCCACATGGTCTACTTTGAGGTTCAAGTCCTGGACCCGGAGGTGTATATACGTGCCCAAAAATCCCAAGAGGAGAATGGAGGAGAAGGAATTGCAGCAAGGCCATCTCTGCTGGAAGTGTGCAGGGGTGCTTTCTCACTCCCCCC